AGGTGCTTACACTCAAACATGATTATAAATTTGCTGATATCTCCGCTTGGCAAGGAATGTGACTCGGGTTGAACTTGCGTCACCTTCATGTATTATGCCAATATAATTTTGCTATAATGCTGTAAACGTCTGTCTATCATCGTCAATATTACTTCTATAGAGGTAGGCAATTTCACAAAACGGCTTATGATATTAGTTGAGACATAAGCTCACTGACTCGTTCATACACTATAAAACGCGCATCCGCGACAAGCATGAGTCATAACGGTTATGCTTCAAATAATTACAATTAAGAGTTAATCCAGGCTCATTGGATAGTACCAATAGCAGCATTACGCCTGTTGATATAGGGTTACATCAAGCGGCTTACGAGAGAGCCTCAACAATAGCGGTGTACGCAGCTTTGGGCTGGTAGCTCGTGCTGAAAAGCAGAGGCGTGCTCTGAGATTGCCACGAGTCCTATCGAAAGTCAGCCCAGGTACTACTTCACAATTCGGAATCGGAGTACTCACAGCATCGCTCACGCCCCAAACGGTGATGCCAACACACTTCTCCACAGCAAGGCAGGCATCCGTGACCTTGACATACTCGTCAGAGGGTGCGTCCACAATGTCGAGCTCGGTAATAGCAAGCTCCTTCACTCCGGTAGTAGCAAGCTTCTCCAAGCCGGCTTGCATGCCGGCGGCGCTAGGATTGCCACCTCCAAGGTGGCCCTGAATGCCAATTCCATCGATGGGGATACCTGCAGCAAGCCACTTCTGCACATGCTCAAACATTCCCGTGGTGGTCTTGGCAGATGTGCCGCTCTCGAGATGGTAGTCGTTAATGTAGAGCTTTGCGTCAGGATCGGCCGTGCGAGCTGCCTCAAAGGCGATGCGGACGAAGTCCTCGCCGAGGACCTGCGTGAAGACACAGTCGCGGAGGGTGCCGTCCTCGTTGAAGATTTCGTTGACGACATCCTGAATGAGCTGTGTTAATTCCTCTTTCTAGCTATGTCAAGGGTTACATAGTTGATACATACCCATGAGCGAACCTTCCCCTTGTACCTCCCGACAATAGTACTGATGTGATTCTCAAGGACACTCGTGAGCTCCGTCTTATCGGTGATGGCCTTTACATAGCCCGGAAGCTGCTGGTACCAGAGCAACGTGTGGCCACGCACACTCTGTCCGTTCTGTTGGGCGAAATTGACGAGTGCATCAGCGCCGCTGAAGCTAAACCCTCCGCGAGTCGGCTCAATGGCGTCCCACTTCATGCTGTTTTCGGGCGTCAACTGCCCGAAGTCCTTCTTAATGATAGCAGCATTCTGAGACTTGGACAGGGATCCGGAGTCGGCTGCCGTGCCGTAGTAGAGCTTGCCTTTTGCCTTGAAGAGTGCGTCGATGCTGTCAGAAGAAGAACCGCCACCTGGTGTGGAGGATGGAGTCGCAGAAGAAATCGTGGAAGATGTCGCGGAGGAAGCAGCTGATGAGCTCACAAGGCTACTGGAGACAGTAGTAGAAGAAGTTACGGACGGGACTACGGTGGTAGACGTGGTGGAAGCGATCGTGGATGTTGGCGCAGATTGGCTACTTGAAGCGAGGGTGGTTGAAACAACTGAAGAAATTGCAGATGAAGTTGGACGATGGCCGCCACAAGGTCGGGCCACGATGCCCATAGGGCCGAGGAGGTAAGCGAGTGTTGCTGGCTTCATTTTTACGATAGTGGATTAGAAAAGAATGAATGACACCAGTGAGTTTAAAAGCGAATAACGATTAAATTGGTCGGAATGCGATATGATTAACGAGAGTAAGCGGTTGAGCCTGAAGCTGAACCGCGATGCCAGCTAGCAACCTTTCTTCAACGACAGATGAAGGGAAAACTACCTTACCTCAACATCGTGATCTTGCACGAAGATTCGGGCAGTTGAGTATATAAACAAGGCGAGCCCCCACACGCAAGAGCCTCCTTAGAGGCTTAGACACACTCTATCCGGGACATGCTACCGACCTGTGGGCGCGATCTAGGTCACATCCAGGTAATCGGCGGTTATAGCTTTCCTGAAAAGGACATTTCTTTTGACGATGTTCCATCGATGCTGTTCTAGTCTCTGTTAGTTCTAAGTACCTACCCTCAAGGATGATTCGGCGCGATGCTCGCTCGTATCCACTTCGGAAACAACCCGAGAACAGACCAGCATGTTGGTGGGATCTTCTTTGACGTACAGCGGTGGTGGGGGCACCGGAACAAGGTTCGATTCCACGTAGCCGATGATATGGAGTTGGTATATGTAGAGTTAAGCTAGATCTATCGTCTTTCCGACTACCATAGAATCTCTGTAAGTCATGGCATTGCCTATATATCGGAATTGCTAGCTCTACCATCGAGGCTGTAGACACATTATTGCAGAGGTTTCCGGTCCTCGGGTCAGCAACCTAACCCCTATTCCATCTGTGGTGTTGGATACGACGTCGTTTAAGCCAGGGTGTTTCAGGGGGATCTGTTGCTGCATGAAAATACAACTTAACAGAAAATGCTAGGTAATAAAGTCATGGTCTCCATAGTGGCACAAATTAAGACAGGCGCGTGCCAACTATAGCTAGTGCCTTAGCAAATACGACGAACGCGTGTTAGTTCGCGAGTATAACGCACGGCAAATATTTATTCTCCAAGCGAGCTAGGAAATATTTCGCGATTTTTGTGAATTAGTTAGCTCATCATGACAGTGAAAAGTTCAAAATGGAGAAATTATCGGAGATTTCGCTTCTACCCGCCCCACGTGACAGCCCCCGCAGATCGGTGACATACATGACACTGTTGTGTATTGAGGCCGCTACCAGACAGTGACTTATGGTATCGTGAAGTATCACAATACAACAAATCTGAGGTCGTCTGGTAGTCTGCTTGATTATTGTAAGAGTCTAGAATCTACTAATTGCTACATGGAGAATTGTCTTGACCCCACCAGGGTCTAGTCACATGATACTGGATCCACACTGTACCTATATTTTACCCAGTTAGAAGCATTCTTATCATTTCATGCATTAACCTACGAATCTCTTTATTCCAGTTATCTGCCAATCAATTGATGTCGGTACAGCTTCATTTGGAGCCTCTTATAATTATAGCATATCATGGGAAACCATCCTACGTTTGATTCCAGATCTCAGAGTTTGATGCTCTCAGCGGTGACAAAATGCATCATGATCGCCATACTTACTAGAAGAGGAAATCAGCTATCGTCATGAGTGGCCCAAGCTCCGAGTTTGTTCCTGAAACGAGACAATCGCACCACGATCCATGACATCAGAGTGATCCAAGGCGGCAGTAATACTTCAAGCTGAATATCTGTGCCTCAATGCCCACCGCTATGAAGTATAAAACCTTCTCACCTGCACATTTATCCGCCCGTACCGTAGTCAGCCAGGCCTGTTACCGAGAGCCTTCGTTATTACCATTGAGTCTTCAGGTCCTCAATTGTGAATCTAGAACACTTGCTCATTCTCCTTGTTTGCGTGACTATCACACATTGACAGCATGACGACGACTAGATCCGGCGCCAAGGCTGAGTCGAGCCCGAAGAAAGAGAATGGTGAGGTCGCAGGCTCGAAGCACCAGCTCGACGCCAAGGCAACGCCAGTATCCAAGCGTGGTAAGAAGGATGACAACAAAAAACAACAGACCATCGAGGATATCATTCCAAGGTATAGCGATATTACAGGTCATCCGGCAGTAATTGCTAACTTGCTTCCTAGTCCCACGGAAGCATACGGCAACGACAAGAACCAGCCGCCGGCCAATGGGGACAAGAAGGAGGACCAGAATAAGAATGGAGTAGCAGAAGAAAAGAAAGTAGACCACGAAGATTCGGCTGAGCAAAAAGGGGCGAGAGAAGGCGTCGTCCCGTCGAACATCCTCGAGAAGGGCCTCATCTACGTCTTCATCCGCGGCCGAGTAGGCATCGACGAGCCAAGCAGCATAGACGACATTCGCCGCAGTTACATTGTCCTCCGACCGCTAGCAAAAGACGCGAAGCTTGGCGAGGGCACGATCGATGATGCCGGAAACAGCCGGTTGATCGCCATCCCGAAGAAGGTATTTCCAGTGAGCGGCAGAGACAGGTGGATTGCATTCGTGGAAAAGTCGCACGCCTCCTTCAAGACTTTGAAGGACGACTTCCTTTCTGCCGAGGACTATACCACCAAAACTGCAGGAGTGAGACACACGCCCGCTGCTACTCCGGTAGCCGAGGGCGTCTACGCCATCACGAGCACGGGCCGGGAGAATCACCTCGCGTACATGATCACCTTGCCGGAAGACCTTGGCGAAGTGCAGAAGGAAATCGGGCTGAAGGAGAAGGGCAGCTTCATCATCAGCACGAGGAACCCGCAATACGAGGCACCGAAGGGCACTGCCCTCCCACAGGGTCCGGATTATCCCAAGGAGTAGGTACCTCCCCCATACAACGAGTAATAGACATCCATTAACAGCTGAAACCCAGGGTCCTCGACGAATTCAGAGCCCTGCGCTGGATGGGCACGCAACCGAAGCATCTCAACTACCCCAACACCCAATTCCTACTGATCGGCGAGTCGAGCGGGATCCAGAAGGCCACGGAGCCCCAGAAAGACCAAGAGGATGGTCAAGAGAAGCCCATAGAGGAGTTGGAGAAGCTGGAAGACGAGGATACGCACCGCGTGGAGGGCTTGCAGGGAGACGATTCGGAGGCCATCTTCGCGGACTTGCATGCGCGTGCTAAGGACTATCCGAAATTGCAGACCACCTTCTAAGGGCCCGGTGAAAAGTTGGCTTGGAGGTATGTACCTTTGATACTGTATCATCAGGACAGGAGTGCCAAAAATTGCAAACGAGAGAAAAGTGCAAAGTTATCGGATCACTCGGTTGAGGTTGCGGTTCCACACAGTGCAGATCAACGTAATAATGCCTCTCATCCTGCGCAAAAGGACTTTATGTGCGGCTTTTAGCAGTTCCCATCCCATCTGGAAATGGATCTTATGAAGTCTCGATTCGTCTAGTGGTTAGGATACCTGCTTGTCATTCTAGACTATAGTTCCACAAGGGACCGAATCCGCAGGTGGCCGGGGTTCAATTCCCCGATCGAGAGAAGCGGTTTTTTTTTTCCCTCATGCTTTTTTACGTCTTGCTTGAAAAACCATTAATCTGCCAGTGGAGGATATTGAATTGCGTGGGCAGCACGGTAGAACCGAACCCGCAGTTTTCTCAAAGGCCTTAGGGAATCTTTCAATAACAACCTCCTCGTTCGAATAACCACCGGATCCAAAGACCTTGAAGGAAAGCAGCTTGGCGCCGGGAGCAACACCAACGAACCTATCACTCTCGCCGGCGATAATTCCGGCGGCATGCGTGCCGTGCCCATGTTGGTCCATCGGGTCGTTGTCTGGCTCAGCTGGTGCATCAGGCCACGCATCACCCACAAGATCGTAACCACCGAGGACGGTGTAGTTCGGACCAATGCCTCCGCTAAGAGCTGGGTAGGTGTATTGGGCACCGCTGTCGACAATTGCAATCGTAGCGTCCTTGCCGAACCTTGGCTGTCTCGTTGAGATCTCGACGCGAATGGGATCGGGCACTTCACACGCTGCCGGAAGCGCCAAGCAGCGCCAGCAGAGAGGGGCTTATGCGCATCTTGTATTCGCCGATTTGCACACAAGTCGATGAGTGCCTCAAATTCAAGATGCTATGCCGAACTGATGCCATTCCGTCAAGTCGTCACAATCTCGTTTCTCATATTTTGAGGTTACTTTCAAGTTATGCCCAGCACGTTACCACTTCGTAGCATGTAGATTTCTAACGTTGTGGGTTACGCCTCGTCGGTGACCTGCCTACCGTGGCCCGCCACGGCGAGGAGCTTCCTTACGGTAGCTAGGAGTCCAAAACATTTATATCGTTCGGGCGACGAGCCCTGGTACGGCGGCTCGACTATTCCGTAAAGGTCATCATATCCCATCGATATTATGCGTAGACACGATGGATGCATTTTATCAACATGAGGGGATAGGTGGGGGGAATAGGATCGCAAAATAGACCGATCTTATATTATCAACTCGACAGGGTTATGTAAGCGACACCGGTTCTCGGATTTCCGTATTGCGGAGAAAACTAAACACCGAGTGAAGGACACCGGTGCCAGTGGCAATAACCGTCGCTGCAATCTGGGAATCACGAACCACCTCATCGGTGACGGCCTTCTAAATGAGATCCGGTCGGCGCAGCGCGGGTGTCTTCTAGCTGACTACGGGAGCTGAATGGCCTTGTTGGCTAAGCTGTGGTGCTTTTTCCTTTTCCATCCCACGTATCATACGATACTAAGCCCATCATACGACAACGAGTCAGCTGCATCGGCGCCAACTTTGTTGTCCTGCTTCATAAAAATGCCCGACAGATCTTCACCTTGCTTCCCAAAATTGATTTTTACCTTGATGAATACCTCCTATAGATAGGCATGCGAATACGCCGAACCCGCCGCTGCGCCCTTTTATCATTCTTCGTCTTCGGCATTATAAGTGCGGTCTTGTGCATGGTCTTCTTTCGACCTAACTCCGTCGTCGCGCTCAATCGCGTATTTAAACTGGGTGCGCTCAAGACATTTTCAACAACGATGACTCAGGGGTCGAGGAAGCAGGTCATCGTCGTAGGCTCCGGCCTCGCAGGCCTGTCCGCGGCGCACGAAGCTCTCAAGGCGGGCGCGGCCGTGCGCATGCTCGACCGGGCCCCTAAGCCGGGCGGAAACAGCATCAAAGCCTCTTCGGGGATCAACGGAGCGGGAACGCGGTTCCAGCGGGACATTGGCATCACCAAGGACGACAGCTTCTTCGCCGACACGGTGCGCTCGGCCGGGCACAAGTTCCAAGAAGGGCCCGCCGGCTTGGACCGCAAGACCCTCGTCGAGCAGCTAACAAGCCAGTCCGAGAGTGCGGTCAACTGGCTCGTAGACGAGCTAGGTGTTGACCTAAGCGTAGTCGCGCAGCTCGGTGGACATTCGGTCGCACGGACGCACCGCGGCGCCGGCAAGCTACCTCCAGGGGCCGCAATCGTCTCGGCCCTGGTGGAGAAGCTAAAGTCGAACCCGGATTTCCAACTCGAGAACTCTGCAGAGGCCGATGAATTACTAGTTAGCGACGGGGCCGTGCAAGGGGTGCGGTATCACACCGCCGACGGGCAGACGCACGAACTCGAGGGCCCCGTGGTCTTCGCAGCGGGTGGATTTGCCGGCGACGCGCACGGTCTTCTCTCCAAATACCGCCCGGACCTGGCAGGCATGCCGTCTACGAACGAGGCCCGCCCTGCGTCGCACGGCTTACTGGCCGCCGTCGGCGCCGAGTTCGTAGACATGGACAGCGTGCAGATCCACCCGACTGGGTTCGTAGACCCGAAGGACCCTGGGGCAGGGTACAAGTTCCTCGCCGCGGAGGCGCTGCGGGGCGAAGGCGGCATCATGCTGTCGAGTGCCGGCGAGCGCTTCGTCAACGAGCTTAACACGCGGGATGTCGTCAGCGACGCGATTATGGCACTACCGCGCTCAGCACTAGAGTCCGCAAGGCAATGGGATATCACGCTTCTGCTCGACCCAGGTGCTTGCGAGGCCACTGGGTCACATATCGGGTTCTATATGTGGAAGGGTCTGGTGCAGAAGAAGAAAGTGAAAGAGCTGGCGCCGGAGATCATCGCGGCGGTGGATAAATACGCAGCTCTGGTGGCGTCGGGGGCGAGCGCCAGCGATCCACTGGGTAGGAAGGCCTTTGGCCACTGGAGGCTGCCGTCCGGCGAGGCGAATAGGGAGGAAGAGGTATGCGTCGGGACTGTGACGCCGGTGGTACATTTCACGATGGGAGGCGTCGCATTCGATTCACATGCACGGGTTCTACGGTCTCAAGACGGGAGTGAACTGACACCCATACCGGGGCTATGGGCGGCGGGAGAGATCACTGGCGGTATACACGGCGCAAACAGGCTGGGCGGCTCGTCCTTACTTGAGTGTGCCGTTTTTGGCAGGGTAGCGGGAGTTGAAGCTGCAAAAAGCCTGACGAATGGGTGATATCGATGTTGTTCGGGATGGTTTGCTCAGTCCATGATAACATCAAGTACTTCCATGATCTTTATATAGGTCTAGGACGACTCGAGACCGTGTACACATATTATTGTTGGCCTATTTCGCGATTAACTCAGGATGTTTGGATGCCAGGTACCTAACATGGCGCTTACTGAGCACGGTGAGGCTTGGGGAATCGTAAGTCGCTACCTCGCTACCTAAACGATGTCTTCCAGCGTCTGTAAGAATCCGCGTGCTCAACTGTAGTGATTTCTTATATACACACACCCACAGTGCATATCACACTTTACACCTTCCAACCATTAGGTAACCCAGGTGCCCGAAGAATCGTTTGCATGTAACTTGGTACTTCTAGACATATAAACTTGTAACCCCACCTTTCCCCTTGTCACAGCACACACTGCACCTAGTCGCTCTGTGGGTGCTTCATGGCAAGATTATCTACCTATCTCCTACGGCATTTCATTCCTTGAGAAAATTGAAAAAACTACAGAATGGGGGATGCGGAACTCCCGTTTAGAGCCGGATCCTCATTCTCATCCAGCTCTAGATCATCTATCGACGTTGCTACTCCGACCGGTACGATAGATGGTTCGACACTTCACTCGTCCACTTCCCAGAAACTCGAGCATATGGAGACACCACCGTACCCCGGCAACACTTATGCTATACGAGACCGCAATTCTGGACGGTTAATCACTCTCGTCAATGGGATGCTCCGACTGGAGAACTGCGTGGGGGAACAGGGCGGATGGCACTGGAAATGCGAGGAGAAGCAAGGCTGGCTTGGATTCCGTAGCCCCGTAGCTGGGTGGTACATGGGCCACGATTGCAAAGGCAATTTTGTCGCTTGTGTCAGCCATCATAAGCCGCACGAGTACTTTTGCGCTCGGAGACATCCCCAAGGCGGCTACTTTTTGCTGATGAAAGAAGCAGGTAATGGCGTGGAGTTGAAGAAAATGGCCATCGGCGAGGACCCTGGAAAACTGGTAATGTCGTCAGAACAGGGGGTATTGTGAGACTTCGTGAAGATTCACGACCGTTAAGAGATGGAGCATTTAACGGAGTCATCAACGAGAGTTCAAGTTATTCCTCGAGGATTTCATGGATCTAAGTTTACTTGCTTGATTTCACAAAAGTACAGTGTGTATCGCACCTTACCTCTTTGTACCTTTCGTCTGCCATTAGGTAGTTTGAAGAGTTTTGTTTGCCCTAGGATTCATAATGGTCTTTCGCTGTTGATTGATATCCCCAAATTCTAAATAGGCAGCTATAAGAGTAAAACGCCATGAAATATTCAATTTGACAGGCCCCACATGCGAAGGGTACATGCAAAGGCCATTTTCGCAGTTGGCGGCAGTCTTACAACCGCCCCGCGCCCGAGAGCCTATTGTTCTGGACAAGTCTTTAGGGAGCTCGCAGTTTGAATAGGTCAAGGCTCCCATAATGATACTCGGGCAGCAAGGAGATGCTATCAAAGCCGCGACGACGGCGTGCTTTTGCCGGCATGCTTCCATTCCAGCCACCACTCTATCTCTGAGCGACGCGGCGAACCACACCGGGCTCCGGCTGATGCGTATTATCCTCGAAAGCCAGCTCATTGCCCTAGTTATGCTGCTGTGTTCAGCTCTTGCGGGACACGTCGAGCTCGAGCGGCTCGTTTGGTATTATGGCGTTTGGCCAGGGGACTTGCGTCGCTGACGCGGCATGGAAATGGGTCCGGGAGCGGGGCATTCTGCACGGGTTGAAGCCACGCATGCTCGCATTGCTGCCAATACACGCGCAGAGCTGTGTCGGTTCTTGGTCCGCGAAGGCGGCGCGCCAAAGAGCTACTTCGATCCGGCGCTGGTGCGGCAGTGAATGGTTCTCTATCGGTTCCGTGAGCTGTGGTGTTCTATCATACTGGGTCTCTTGCCACATCTTCGTCCGTGTCCGGCGTCCGAAGACGTAGTGATGAGGATTATATAATTGATCATCGGATCTAGGTAAGAGCTTACGGATAGGCTGTCAGATCCCGTAACGGCGTGTAGTAA